TGCTATAAATCATTAAAGAAAGGTATATACAGTGTTCGAATTACAGACATGATGATAGAACGTGTAGCATAGCTATCAACAATCCTATTAATAAATGAATTTAATAAAGAAATTGTGTAATAAAATGACTCTGACGGCAATCGAACCGGCGACTTGTCACTGTCAAGGTGAGCGTCAAAACAATTAAACACAGAGGCTTCATAGTTGAATAGATTCAAATTACCGTCAGATACACTCTATTACACAATAAGTATGGCTGGAAACAAATAGTTGCATAGAATATAAATCAAGATAGCCGTTAATACTGTTAGATTATATATAAATCAACAAAGAAAGGTAAAATGCCACACGATACATGATAATGTATATATGTATATATATACTGTATATGTTTTATCTATATGTTATATATATACTGTATATGTTTTATATTATTGGCCTATATAAGTCTACGAATATTATTATTATTTATAATATAAAACCTGTTTGAATAAATATATTGCCTTGCACTGGAGTATAATAATACGCATACACATTGTACACATATGTAAACATCGTTATACAGTAGTCAAGCAGCATATTGATTTTTTTTTATATTTATCTCTCCTACCTCAGATTCGAGGGTTACAGATGAAGATGGTTTTGAAGAAAATTTTCTTTTACGAGAGTGCGGGAATACACCTCTGGAACTGTGTACAGCTGAAGGAAGATCAGTTGTTGATATTCGTTCAAAAACAGGTACATTTTCGAGTGCCTCTGTTTCAAATCCGTTCACTTTTTTTTCAACTTTACTGTGTGTATAGATGTTTCTATCTAAAAAAATCATATGAGTAAAACAATAAATCACAAAGTCTCTGAACACATTTTAGCGTGCAATTAGTATAATAGGGCTATTTAAATTTAATTTTAAATAGTTTTTGTCATACGAAAATTTATTTTCTTTGTAAACTCACTACAACTACTTTTTTTTATAAAATAAAAAAAAAAATCAAGAAGTACATGCATATTAGTGTAACAAAATTAAGCATCTAAAAAATAAAAAAATTAGCCTCTCCAAAATTAGGAATCTTGTTATGTAAGATAGAAGGAGCCGCTGACGAAGCGGCCTAACAGCATCTGTTTCAAGTTTAAAGTTAAGACAAGGATATACAAATCAATCGTATGTTTCGAATAACAGCAGATTATTATTTAGAGAAATAAAAAGGATAAAAAAGGATTGCACTTGGCAGACACAAATCAATTTTGAAGAGTACACTACTAACACAATTATTTTTTTTTTTTTTGTATTTTTAATTACCTCGTAGTTTCTTAAAAATCCTGTAAACGCTGCTGCCTTCTGTTTTAATTGGTTCTAGTTCCTGTAATAAAGAATTTGATTAATACATACATAATACATATTTTCTGCCATAAATATATACATATATATATATATATATATATACATATATGTATACTCTTCAATATACATATATACATATACATAAATATACATATATAGTATATAATATATAATATAGTATA